TATATCAAAACTTCATTTCTGATTAGTAATATGCATTGCCAAGAACTTTAAAACAACTTTAAAGGCGATTTTCTCAATATTTTGATTGTTTTGCACCCTCACATTCCAGATTTTCAAATAGTTATATCTCGGCCAGATATTGTCCTATCCTAACAAACCATACATCAATGGAAAGTTTATTTATTCAGCTTTCAGATGATGTATACATCTCAATTTAAAAAAATTGACCCTTATGACTGGTTTTGTGGTCCAGGGTCACAAATTTTCTCCTTTATGCATCAAAGGGATGCAAACTACTTGCCTTTTGGCAAAGTTTAACAAATATTTACAAAAAATGACAAAATATTTCACAACTACTGTATATTATAATTTATATAGAATATAATAGATTAATATAATACATTTTCAATCTTTAAAATGGCAAGCTTATTATTTTATCCACACTACCATTCAAAAGCTTGAGGTCAGTATTTTTTTTAAAACTTTTTTTTAGCAGAGATGCATTAAATTGATCAAAAGTGACAGTAAAGACATGTTCATTGTTACAAATATATATTTTTTTCAAATAAATGCTGTTCTTTTAAACTTTCTATCTTTAAAGGGGAGATAACACACACAGTTTTACCCAATCTCACGTTAATCTTGAGTACCTATAGAGTAGTACTGCATCCTTTATATCTCCAAAAAGTCTTTAGTTTTATCATATTTATAAAAGAAAGATACATATAAGCTTGAGGTCAGTATTTTTTTTTAAACTTTTTTTTAGCAGAGATGCATTAAATTGATCAAAAGTGACAGTAAAGACATGTTCATTGTTACAAATATATATTTTTTTCAAATAAATGCTGTTCTTTTAAACTTTCTATCTTTAAAGTGGAGATAACACACACAGTTTCACTTACCGTCTGCAGTTCTGAATCATGACCGGGATCTTTTATAGCTCGACCGCTCCATCCTTCAGTATCAAACGATGTGCAAATCCAGCATCGAACTGGGCCTTGCTTATAAAACGTTCGTCAACAAACACACTTGTGAAACTCCGTTGCTGCTCCGGAAAAACAAACTGCATCCACTGTTTACATAACGTTGGGTTCTTTACGAAGGTGAACAAAGTTATCTTTCCCTTACAACCAAAAACACACTTCTTTTGGAGACATTCTTCCCGAGTGAGTCCCGTGCAGCGCTGCCGCCGGATGAAGCGCGTTGATGGCCGCGATCTCGCTCTCGCTCTCACTCTGGTCGATGCTTGCGTGGGCGCGCTCTTCCGGGAGAAATGCCCATATAAGGAGTTCCACCCTTGTCTACGTCAGTGGTTCTCAACCTGCGGCCCGTCACAAATTCAAATGCGGCCCACCATGCTGAACAAAAAATAATAGGATTAGGGTTAGAAATAGGGTTTGGTCTTGGGTTAGTTGCATGTAATTATGCATAATTGACTGTTATTGCTATAGTAAGTACGTGTAACATGTAACAAGGACACTGTAAACAGTGGTGTTCAACTTCAGTCCAGGGGACCCACTGTACATGATGGGATCCTGGAAATGTACTGTTTAACAGGAGCGACGCTGTGACTGTTTTATCCTTTTCACCTCTGAGTTTGCATCCCTGTGGGTTTCAGGTCAGTGACTGGTGGGAAGAATATATCTACTTGAGAGGTCGTGGGCCAATCATGGTTAACAGCAACTACTACGTAATGGTAAATAGTACTTGCCAGCTCCATATGCGTGTGCAGCCACTAGGTGCAGTATAGTACCTAGATATATTATAGTCTACTAGATAATTTTAGCTGCATACTTTGTAGCAGTATGCAGAGTTTGACTACTAGATCATATTTTTTTTTTGTTCTCAATTAGATTAAACATTCTTGGTTTCTGAAACCTTTTTCCTCCGAACAGGACTTTCTTTATGCCTTTCCTACACATCTGCAAGCAGCAAGAGCCGGCAATGTCATTCATGCAATCATGCTTTACAGGAGGAAGCTGGACCGGGCTCAAATCAAGCCGGTTAGACAAGCTACCATATTTCTACTGCATCTTTACTATAAAATAAATAGTCTATAAAATGTTGTTTTAATCAGCTAGTTTTTGTAAGTAAACCAGTAGATTTGTGAATCTCGTTACCATTTTGTCTCATAACAAAGAAGTAAAAAAAGAGTTACAGCTTTAGATTTTAAAGGAGTAGTTCACTTCCAGAACAAAAATTTACAGATAATATACTCGCCCCCTTGTCATCCAAGATGTTCATGTCTTTCTTTCTTCAGTCGTAAAGAAATTGTTTTTTGAGGAAAGCTTTTCAGGATTTCTCTCCATTTAATGGACTTCTATGGTGCCCCCGAGTTTGAACTTCCAAAGTTGAACTTCCGAGTTTGAAGTTCCAAAATGCAGTTTAAATGCAGCTTCAAAGGGCTCTAAACGATCCCAGCCAAGGAAGAAGGGTCTTATTTAGCGAAACGATTGGTTATTTTCTAAAGAAATGTTCAATTTATATACTTTTTAACCTCAAACGCTCGTCTTGTCTAGCTCTGCGTGAACTCTGTGTATTCCGGTTCATGAAAGTTAGGGTATGTCGAAAAACTCCCATCTCATTTTCTCCTCCAACTTCAAAATTGTCCTACATCGCGGTTTTACTGTTTTTTGTAAAGGGTGTTTGATCTTCTTTGCATGTTCACTTTATAAACACTTTATAAACACTGGGTCGATACTTCTGCAGCAATGTAGGATACATACCCTAACTGTCATGAACCAGAATACAGAGTACACGCAGAGCTAGACAAGACGAGCGTTTGAGGTTAAAAAGTATATAAATTGTACAGTTCTTTAGAAAATAACTGATCGTTTCGCTAGATAAGACCCTTCTTCCTCGGCTGGGATCGTTTATAGAGCCCTTTGAAGCTGCATTTAAACTGCATTTTGGAAGTTCAAACTCGGGGACACCATAGAAGTCCATTATATGGAGAGAAATCCTGAAATGTTTTCCTCAAAAAAAACATAATTTCTTTACGACTGAAGAAAGAAAGACAAGGGGGTAAGTACATTATCTGTAAATTACTACTCCTTTAATGGCTCAACACTGTAATAACTTCTACTATAACATAATTTGTAATAACCGCCCTCTATTACAAATAAATTATTAGCCCTAACTAACATTAGTTACTAAGGAGATTGATCTCTTTATTTAATTCTGTGAATGTTTCTGTATTTCATGCCTCCTGATCATATGGTCAAAATGGTGCAGCTTTTTGCACTAATGAACAGCTTTCCACTCTGTTCTGCCCAGTGGGAGCGGCTATTTAATACATGCCGCATCCCAGGCCAGGAGACGGGTAAGAATAGCCAGTCTGTGCACCATAGACCATCTTCTGCCTAATCCACTGGTCATGTGTCATCCGTTAATTTTGATTAGTAGTGTATGTTATTGTATATTTTCATTGGCAGTTCCATTGACAGTTTGTTCTTATGCACAATAATGTAATGACTTTGTAATGACCAGCTGGTGACACAGGGCTGTGCTGCTTAAAATTCCTCTCCGGTCATTCCATTTCCTTTCTTTTATTTCACATAACATCATTTTTCTGACTAGGACCCCAGTCAGTCTTCTTATATCCTAATGATTGCATAGTTCTCTCTCCAGACCATCAAGTAGTGCTTTGTGACCCTTTTCTCATCTGTTAGTGAGGTTTATCACCAGTTCCTCCTTCCATCTTTTATTTGACCTCTTCCTCTCTACTTCGCAGCTTATGCTTCAAAACACCATCCCTATGTGCTCGTCCCAATATGAGCGCATGTTCAACACCAGTCGCATCCCAGGCATAGAAACAGGTACTGATCTTTGACACAATCTTTGCGCAGAGAATTCGTCTTTGCGCCAAATTCAAGTTATAGTATTTCAAGTATTTCCAATCCCGCTTTCCCACAATTCAATCTGCAACTGGGAATGATAACAAGCTTATGATTGCTGATGGAAATACTCCAAAGGCATGGATTAGTTATTTTGGAAGTATATTGTTGTTGCGTAATATATTAGGTTACAAGTGTAATATGCCATACTACGATTTTAGTTGATGAAAACAAAGACCCCCTTTATTTTAAGGAAATTGTATGTCACAAAACGGTCCCTGAGAAAGCCTGCACGGGTCCTGTTTGGTAAACGTGCACCAGCAGTACTTAACAGAACACCCGACCCATTATCTGACAGCAGCACTAATTTAATTCTGTACCAGACCAGAACCGTTTGACATAAAGACCGCGAGTCGCGACCCGAACCGTACTCGCATTAAATCTATTACATCAGGTAAGCAAGATTATTTATTTTCTCATGTAACACAAGCAATCAAACCAACATTAGGCATTCTAAGTTGGTGCTTTACCGTTACAATATCATGATTATGGTTAAATAAGAAAAGACATATAACCAAATCAGGCTACATTTATTTTCATACTAAATATCTCAACACACATCATTGGATATGACATTAAGCGCAACTTGTGTAAATTAATTTAGTAAAAAAGGCATCATGCTTTCTGTGGCGTATATTTGTATACTTTTACTATCTAATCAATCTCAGCATGCGTTAATTTTGTGTCGCTATATGTTTGCCTCACTAAGGTAAAATTATGCCTACGTCTTTCTTTGGCCTGAGCTCTGGAAGTGATCTGTTAATTCTGCTAAACTTTAATTAAAACTGAAACTAAAACTGAAACTAAACTATATAAAAACTAAATAAAAATGCGTTCACAAAATAAAAAACAAACTAAAACTAACAAAAATATGAATGAAACTAATAAAAACTAAACTGAATTTTATAGCAAATTTGAAAACGATATTAAAATAAAACTATTTTAAAAATTCTAAACTATATTAACCTTGGTTAGCACTGCATTTATTGTACTGAGATGCAGGTCTTGATCTAATACACACCTCCCCATTCCTGCACTGTGGCTTTGGATAGAAGACAATTCTTAGAGGTTATGTGTGTGATTTTTTATTTTAAATTACTTTCTCCTGTTCCAGTTTACTGAGCAGAGAGAGACAGTTCAGTAGTTATTAGGGGTGTAATGGTTCTCGGTAAAAAAATCTAACCGTATTGTTCTCCACCCACGGTTCGGCACGCACTTGCACCGCAATTCAATTCAAGTTTATTTGTATAGTGCTTTTCACGATACAAATCGTTGCAAAGCAGCTTTACAGAAAATTTCAGTTTATATTTTAAAGTTTCTACATTATATTTAGTAGTAGCTTATCCGTGGTGAATTATGTCAAGTTGATGTCCATATGGCAGAAATGTACAGTACAATTCATGCAGTTAATATCATGTAATCAAACAGACGGTGAACACTATTAACTGCAATGATTATATGTTGCAATTAAACTTATAGCAAAGTTTGGTAGTTTTGTATGATGTCTGAGAGTTGGCATCATCTCTTCTCAGGTCTTTGTAAGGGCTGGATCCAGACTGAAGCTTCTGTAATTCCTAGTTACGCAGAAACAGAGAAGCCAATAGAGACATAATTAGCGTAGCTGCTGTTCCAACCAAGCAAAAGTGATGTGTTCAACCCAAGCAAAAGAATGAAAATGTGCATTTGATCAGATATAACTGCAGTACAAGATTATGAGATGCATTAGTTGAATGCTTGGTAAAAGAGATTTGTCTTTAATCTAGATTTAAACAGAGAGAGTCTGAATCCCGAACGTTATCAGGAAGGCTATTCCAGAGTTTGGGAGCCAAATGTGAAAAAGCTCTACCTCCTTTAGTGGACTTTGCTATCCTAGGAACTACCAAGAATCCAGAGTTTTGTGACCTTAGGGAGTGTGATGGATTGTAGCGTGGTAGAAGACTAGTTAGGTACACAGGAGCTAACCCATTAAGGGCCTTAAAAGTAAGTAATAATATTTTGTAACTGATACGGAACTTAATAGGTTCAACTTAAATCTGACAACGCATCTGTAATATGGTTTGTTATAAATAACAACAACTAAAACAGACAGAGTTCAGCTAATACATGTTTCGATGTATACACATTCTTGCTCCCCAATACATTACAACAACAGCGATGAACAAAAAAAAGTGGACAAACCAGAATCTCTGTTCAATGTGAGTGCCGTATGCTGGAATATGGCCAGTCATTTATGCCATCATTACCCAGGTGTTGATTAGTGCGTGTGCGCAGGTGAGAACTGAACAGCACATGTTGCTATCTGTGTTTATACTAAACTCATTTAATCCTTGCCAGTTTAAACATTCAAGAGCCACAAGACATGAATGAGAACTCGCGCGCAGTGAGAAGATTTGTGTGTGCGCACTCATCTAAAGCGTCTCAGAACGAGCGCAAATTACAAATTACACAAATTACAATTACATTTTCTTTCAAGTCTTGTGCTTAATTAGACAAATTCACACTAAAATGATTTCAAAATGCCCGTCTTGGTGAGTATCCTCAGGCATAGTCGGTTGAACGTACATTATCAGTGTACAGTTTACAAGAAAAACAAGGAAATCACTCACTTCTCTTAATTGAATAGCTTTTGTAACATTAATAAGGATTGATCTGTAATTTATACAGTCAAATATGTAATGTTATTTTACATTTGATTACTTTATTCAATTTCTGTACCTAAAAACTAATGTTAATGTTAATGTTACCTACCTAAAAAACCTGAAAAGCACTGTTTATTTTATTTGTATCTTTGCTCTAATGTATTTATTTGTGCTGTTGCTTGTAGTTAGATTATTTGTTTTTATGTACTTTATTTTTATTTGACAATATAGTTTTTCCCCCCCATAAACATAGCACATACCGTACCGAAACCAAAACCGTGATACAAACCTAACCGTGAGTAATTTGAACCGTTACAGTCCTAGTAGTTATACAGTATAAGTCATTTGTAGGTTGATTTCCCAGGGTGGAAAAAGTGTAAACAGTGGGACTATCTGTTTAGCTGACAGTGGAAGACGTGTTTTGGAAACTCATTTTCAAATTTTGAATCTAATGATGCAGAAATTACACACTTCAGCTTTAGCTTTCACCTTAGTTCCTCCCTTGATCATTTGCACCCCATTTGTTTTATTTTGTACATGTATAAATGTTTTATATACTGTTCAGACTTTTGGGGTCAGAAAGATTAATGTTTTTGAAAGAACTCTCTTATGCTCACCCAGGCAGCATATATTTGAGTAAAAATATAGTAAAAACAGTAATATTGTGTTCTATGTTAATATACAGTAGTCAACATTTGAAGTGGATCAAAAAAGTTCATCAAAGTTGTCCTAAGACAAGAACTCATTTTGGTTTTAGGTTTTAGGACAACTTCGATAAAAGGTTTTGATCCACTTCAAATATTGACTAGTGTATTTCAAAATCTAATTTATTCCTGTGATGACAAAGCTGAATTTTTACCAGCCATTACAATCGTCATGCCACACGATTCTTCAGAAATCATTTAAATATGCTGATTTGCTCAAGGAACGTTATTATTATTATTATTATTACCAATTATTACCTTATTATTACCAATGTTGAAAACAGTTGTGCTGTCTAATATTTTTGTGGAAACTGTGATACTTACCTTTTTTCAGGATTTTATGATAATTAGAAAGTTCAGAAGAACAGCATTTATTTGAAATATAAATATTTTGTATAATTATAAATGTCTTTACTGTCACGTTCAAACTGATTTTCAGTTTAATGCATTTAATGACCCCGAACATTTGAAAGGTATTGTGTGTGTATATACATTTTCTTTTTAATTTATTTTCATTAGAATGTTATGAATGTTTCACTCACTGCCTACCTGCAAAACATTTAATACCTTAATGTAAAAATGTAGCATTCTATATAGTTGCTTGCATGTGACTTGTGATCTTTCTTTCTTTCTTTCTTTCCTCCATCTGACTGTAGACACAGTTCAGCACATGTCTGACAGCAGGCATATTGTGGTGCATCACCGAGGCCGTTACTTTAAAGTATGGATGTTTTATGATGGGCGGTTACTGTTGCCACGGGAGATAGAGCAGCAGATGGAGAGGATTCTGGCTGACACCTCAGAGCCGCAGCCTGGAGAGGAAACCCTTGCCGCCCTCACTGCAGGGGACAGGTATTCACAACACACCCAACAGCAGGAGTAGCTACCGTTTTCCTGTCATTCATTTGTCTGATCTCTTGTAACCACTGTAAAGTTTCAGTGGGATGTCAGTCTGTAATTAGGTTCTTTTTTATTTCTCCTTTACTATTATTTGTCACCAATTTTTACTGGACAGTCAAAACTATTTTAGATGGAGTAAAAGCTTGTCTGTATCTGTTTTTCTCAGAGTGCCTTGGGCGTGTGCCCGTAATGCCTACCTCAGACACGGCAAGAACAAGAAGTCTCTGGATACTGTGGAGAAAGCCGCTTTCTTTGTTACACTGGATGACACAGAGCAGCGCTATGATCCATCAAATCCTGTGGAGTCCCTGGACCATTACGCTAAATTGCTGCTCCATGGGAAGTGTTATGACAAGTAAGGAAGAAACCATAGCATGGGTTAAGAGAGACCACCTCCTTCCATGCCCCTTTGAAAGGGTTTTTGTGGGTCTCTAGGTACCAGTACTGTACCTCAGAGTAGCTTTTATACAACATGTAAATTTTTAATGGTCATTTTCCATTAGGTGGTATGATAAGTCCATAAACTTAATTGTCTTCAAGAATGGAACCATGGGCCTTAATGCAGAACATAGCTGGGCCGATGCTCCTATTGTTGGCCACCTCTGGGAGGTACACATGCACACATACACTACCATTCAAAGGTTTGAGGTCAGTAAGATATTTTTCTTTTTTAAAACTTTAAAACTTTCTTCAAAACTTTATTGTATACTTTTATTCAGCAATTAAATTGATTGTTACAAAAAAAGTGGATCAAAAAAGTTCATCAAAGTTGTCCTAAGACAAGAACTCATTTTGGTTTTAGGTTTTAGGACAACTTCGATAAAAGGTTTTGATCCACTTCAAATATTGACTAGTGTATTTCAAAATCTAATTTATTCCTGTGATGACAAAGCTGAATTTTTACCAGCCATTACAATCGTCATGCCACACGATTCTTCAGAAATCATTTAAATATGCTGATTTGCTCAAGGAACGTTATTATTATTATTATTATTACCAATTATTACCTTATTATTACCAATGTTGAAAACAGTTGTGCTGTCTAATATTTTTGTGGAAACTGTGATACTTACCTTTTTTCAGGATTTTATGATAATTAGAAAGTTCAGAAGAACAGCATTTATTTGAAATATAAATATTTTGTATAATTATAAATGTCTTTACTGTCACGTTCAAACTGATTTTCAGTTTAATGCATTTAATGACCCCGAACATTTGAAAGGTATTGTGTGTGTATATACATTTTCTTTTTAATTTATTTTCATTAGAATGTTATGAATGTTTCACTCACTGCCTACCTGCAAAACATTTAATACCTTAATGTAAAAATGTAGCATTCTATATAGTTGCTTGCATGTGACTTGTGATCTTTCTTTCTTTCTTTCTTTCCTCCATCTGACTGTAGACACAGTTCAGCACATGTCTGACAGCAGGCATATTGTGGTGCATCACCGAGGCCGTTACTTTAAAGTATGGATGTTTTATGATGGGCGGTTACTGTTGCCACGGGAGATAGAGCAGCAGATGGAGAGGATTCTGGCTGACACCTCAGAGCCGCAGCCTGGAGAGGAAACCCTTGCCGCCCTCACTGCAGGGGACAGGTATTCACAACACACCCAACAGCAGGAGTAGCTACCGTTTTCCTGTCATTCATTTGTCTGATCTCTTGTAACCACTGTAAAGTTTCAGTGGGATGTCAGTCTGTAATTAGGTTCTTTTTTATTTCTCCTTTACTATTATTTGTCACCAATTTTTACTGGACAGTCAAAACTATTTTAGATGGAGTAAAAGCTTGTCTGTATCTGTTTTTCTCAGAGTGCCTTGGGCGTGTGCCCGTAATGCCTACCTCAGACACGGCAAGAACAAGAAGTCTCTGGATACTGTGGAGAAAGCCGCTTTCTTTGTTACACTGGATGACACAGAGCAGCGCTATGATCCATCAAATCCTGTGGAGTCCCTGGACCATTACGCTAAATTGCTGCTCCATGGGAAGTGTTATGACAAGTAAGGAAGAAACCATAGCATGGGTTAAGAGAGACCACCTCCTTCCATGCCCCTTTGAAAGGGTTTTTGTGGGTCTCTAGGTACCAGTACTGTACCTCAGAGTAGCTTTTATACAACATGTAAATTTTTAATGGTCATTTTCCATTAGGTGGTATGATAAGTCCATAAACTTAATTGTCTTCAAGAATGGAACCATGGGCCTTAATGCAGAACATAGCTGGGCCGATGCTCCTATTGTTGGCCACCTCTGGGAGGTACACATGCACACATACACTACCATTCAGAAGTTTGGGGTCAGTAAGATATTTTTCTTTTTTAAAAAAGGATTTTATTATATACATTTATGAAGCAATTTATTATATTGATTACATTAAATAAATGTTCTTTTAAACATTCCATTCATCAAACTGTCCTGAAAAAAAACAGTTTTCATTTAATTTATAATAAGTAAAGAAAGTTACAAATCACCATATTAGAATAATTTCTGAAGGATCATGTGACACTGAGGACTGGAGTAATGGCTGATAAAAATGCAGCTTTGCCAATACATGAATAAATTACATTTAAAAATGTATAAAATAGAAAACATTTAGTTTAAATTCTACTAATATTTCAAAATATGACTTTTCTATGTAATTTTGATTAGATAAAAGCAGGTGAGCATAAGAGAAACCCCCCCCCCCCAAAACTTACCAACCCCAAACTTCCGTTGTTCACATCGGTTGTATTTCACTTTTAATTCATGTGTATCATGCATAAAATGTTAATCTGCTGCTAATGTAAATTTGATGGCATTTTTCATAAAGCAAGTGCTCTCGATGGACCCTGTTAAGCTGGGCTACACAGCAGATGGCCACTGTAGAGGAGAACCTCACCCTAATCTTCCTGGACCTCAAAGACTCCAGTGGAATATTCCACCTGAGGTCAGTGTGATACACTTGGTAGTAAAAATGCTGATAATAGCTTTCTCATCTTGCTCGAGTGGATATGAAAGGACCAAGACATTGGGTTGTTTGACGTTCTCTCTGTTGTGTTTTTTATTTCATCGCAGTGCCAGACTATGATTGCCAACTCTCTGTCTGTGGCTGTGGCTTTGGCTAATGATGTGGACTCGCACATCATCCCCTTCAGTGACTTTGGGAAAGGCCTGATCAAGAAGTGCAAGATCAGTCCTGATGCCTTCATCCAGCTTGCACTGCAGCTGGCTCATTATAGGGTGAACGTTCTTATCACTGAACATCTGAAATGTAGCAAAATATTCCTGCTTATCGTTCACTTGAAAGGGTGAAATGATGTCAATGATTTTTCATTGTACAGGACAAAGGAAAGTTCTGCTTGACTTATGAGGCATCCATGACCCGTTTATACAGAGAAGGCCGTACAGAAACTGTGCGCTCCTGCACCATGGAATCCTGTGCTTTTGTCCGTGCCATGATCGGCAACAAAACGGTACCATACCACAACAACCCTTAAGATCCGCAGCCACAGGGGAGGCAATTCACTATGAACCAGTGCTGTAGTACTCGAGACTAGACAAGACCGGACTGGGATTGCCACAACACTTATATTAGTATACTACTGTATACATCAACAGGAGAAAACAAATCAGTTTTTCAAGAAAGATTGAATTGTGTTCCCTTATAGTAATCATATTGACTCCTGTACACCTCTGATCCCTTAACCAACCCTTAAAGGGTTAGTTCACCCAAAAATGAAAATTCTGTCATTAATTACTCACCCTCGTGTTGTTCCAAACCCGTAAGACCTTCGTTCATCTTCGGAACACAATTTAAGATATTTTTTATGAAATCTGAGGGCTCTCTGACCCTCCCATAGACAGCAAGGTAACTACCACGTTCAAGGTCCAGAAAAGTACCAAGATGATCGACAAAGTAGTCCGTGAGACATCATTAGTTCAGCTGTAAAGTTACGAAGCTATGAGAATACTTTTTTGTGCAAAGAAAACAAAAATAACGACTTTATTCCACATTTTCGTCTCTACTGCGTCACTTTGGACGCGCGCATTCACGACAGTATCATGACGCGAGCGTGTGGCGGCGCTTCTTTTTTCTTTGCGCAAAAAAGTATTCTCGTAGCTTCGTAAATTTACAGTTGAAATGTAAAAGTAATTAATGACAGATTTCTCATTTTTGGGTGAACTAACCGTTTAAACCTACCCAAAGCTACAAACCTGTCCCTAACCTTACCCGTATCGCACCTCAATAGCAGCAAAAGTGTTGTACATTTAAAAAAAAGTTTAATCATTGTATAACATCTGTAGATTTTCAAGAAGTTTGTGATCATATAAATTGAATGACATTTGTAAGCATGTGAAATAATGATCTGTTAATCATTAGGAAATGTTTAGCAAGTTTAACACATTATCTCACATTTCTAGCTATTTGACTATATATTAACTAATGATCTGTTAAGCATTATATAATGTTTGTTAATGATATAATAATGAAAGTTATTATAAAGTGTTACCGACTGGTCAGAAACACCTCATTCGAGTTCAAGTTTAGGCTGTGTCCGAATGCTCCTGAAAATATGGTCTTGGACTTAAGAATAAATTCATAAGAAAATTGAGACCAGGTTTTGTCCGGTCTCGGGTATTAGGGTTAGTTACGATACCAACACAAATAACACAATAGCTGTATATTTCATTTGCCTTTCCTTTTATTGCTGTAGCCAGTGTTGGGGGTAATGCATTACAAGTAACATGACTTACATAATCCGATTACTTTTTTGATGTAACTAGTAAAGTAACATAAGTAAGTAGTAAAGTCTGACTTTTTAAAATAAGTAACACAAGTTACAAGTTACTTTGTTTTCCATTTATTCAGTGACACCTCTCCTGTCCCCATGTTGAGAGAAATTAGGAGTGAGGTGCAGAGGCACTTCCTTCAGCCTGAGTCTTATTCATTTCACTTTTTGGTTTTTTCTTATTAAAAAAACAAGCAAGCAAGCTCAGCTCAGGTGACAAAGAGTAACGCAAAAGTAACGTAATGTATTACATTCTATAAAGAGTAACAAATTAATGCAGTAAGTTACTTTTTTATGGAGTAACACAATATTGTAATGCATTACTTTTAAAAGTAACTTTCCCCAACACTGTCTGTAGCTACTGCTTTTCATAATTTGACAAATGTGACCCTGGACCACAAAACTTTGATGTATGGGGGGGGGGAACACAAAATATATTGTATGGGTCAAAATTATTGATTTTTCTTTTATGCCAATAATCATTAGGACATTAATCATGTTTCATGAAGATATTTTGTAAATTTCCTACTGAAAATATATCAACACTTAATTTTTGATTAGTAATATGCATTGCTAAGAACTTCATTTGGACGACTTTAAAGATGATTTTCTCAATATTTTGATTGTTTTGCACCCTCAGATTCCAGATTTTCAAATAGTTGTATCTCGGCCAAATATTGTCCCATCATAATAAACCATACATCAATGGAAAGCTTATTTATTCCGCTTTCAGATGATGTATAAATCTCAATTTCGAAAAATTGAGACTTATGACTGGTTTTGTGGTCCAGGGTCACAAATGCAGTTTACCGGTCACTGTTTTACTGCTGCCATTTTTCAAAATGAGTCTTCTGTTCTTGTTTTGTAGAGAGAAGAGAAACTTTGTTTACTAACCCAGGCCGCTGAGAAACACCAGCAGATGTATAGACTGGCAATGACTGGTCAGGGCACTGACCGCCATCTCTTTTGCCTCTATGTAGTGTCTAAGTACCTTGGACAGGACTCCCCATTCCTCCAGGAGGTGGGTTTTAGCATTTAAGCGGTTTGTAAAATTACAAATATAAAGGAATATACGCTAAAAAACCATATCCCATGAGAATTAACTGTGTCCTGATTATAATTATTATTATGACAAATTAATGATAAAGGTCATTTCCGCCTTTGAAGACATGAGTGCATGTGCCTTGCTTAGGAGTAATGTAGCTTATATTCTTTAACAAAATTCATTTGAATGCAAAATGTCCCACTTCCTGTCTCTTCAGGTGCTGTCAGAGCCTTGGAGACTCTCCACTAGTCAGACTCCTTTGCAGCAGGGGGAGCTGTTTGATCTGGTGAATCACCCAGAGTATGTAACCACTGGAGGAGGCTTTGGACCGGTGAGTCTTCCAAAGATTTCATAATCTGGTAATATTAAAATGCTTTAGTGAAAGGATCGAATGTAACTTTTTTTTCTAACTGTGGTAGGTTGCAGATGATGGTTATGGTGTGGCCTATATGATTGTTGGCGAAAAACTCATCAATTTCCACATCTCTTCCAAGTGTTCCAGTCCAGAGACGGTGAGAACATACACAACCAGAGAATCTGTCAAAATACAGAAAATGCTGCTCCTTTGTTTTTATTTGTGACAGTAGATATGTTTCATCCAATGGAATGTGATTTTTGGGGTATCACTTAAAATCTTAAAATGCTCAACTGAGGTCGATAATTTATCTGATAAGAAGACATGCACATAAATTCTGATGGAAACAGAATAAATTCCAACAAAAAAACATATGTGACTTTGACTCAACAGATCATGTGATTGGATAAGTGGTCTAAACAGTGGACCAATCACATTGCACACTTCAGTGTTAAGTCATTCTGAAATTACCTGAGCCAAAGTATGTAATCAAAATGATTTGCTATAATTACCTCCCAGAACTACACATGACTGCATTCCCAAACATCAGGCATCTGCCTCTTAAAGGGGTCATATGATGTGATTTCAAGTTTTCCTTTCTCTTTGGAGTGTTACAAGCTGATTGTGAATAGATAAGATCCCTGAAGTTGCAAAGACTAAAGTCTCAAAACCAAAGAGATATTCTTTCATATCAAAGTTAAGAGTCTGCCACGCCCCCCTAAAACGGCTCGTTCTAACACGCCCCCACATATCTACCTCACTATGTGAAAATATTTGAATAATGCCGCCCAAACAAATACACAAAATAATGATCTTTAAAAATGCATCATAAGACCCCTTTAACGCAAGATATCATGACTGTACTCTTTCATCTGCACACTCTGAGACGCATGTAATTTTTACTGAGGAAAAAGAGCCACAGTGCTTCTTCGTGTGGAACAACTTCCATTTTTATTATTGATACTTTGCGCCAGTTTCCCATGAAGTGATGATTTGATTACTTGAACACATGAGATGGAAACTGTGACTTATTCTCAAATGTTTTATGTGATATTCCATTCTTTTGGAACAATACCTGGCTGGTGTTGTTCTTGAATGCTTGGTGATTTCTTTTCATCTTATCTTTTTTTCAGGACTCTCATCGCTTTGGAAACAATATCAGGCAAGCAATGCTTGATATGCTGAATCTGTTTGAGCTTGACAAAAAGACCCTAAAGTGATTTGATTGGTGAAAGGATTATGCTTTTAATGACTCAATTCACCTTAATTATATATGAGCAGTGTTGAGAGAAGCTTGAATGTTTTTGCCCAAGTGTGTTTCTTGGCAGACTGCCCCAAAGCTTCTTACAGAAGTTATTCATAAGAGATTAGGCCAAACGGCTTTACTCCATGTGGCCGGAAAACTGTTTTGATTAATGCTTAACAATTCTGCCTGCAAGTTTTATACATGTGGATTATTCTGTTCAAAAGATTTGGAGAAGTAAACTAGCTCCATCATAAAGGTGATTGATTCTTTTAACCAAAAGGCAGAATTTCCATTTGCCATCTTCAAGTAAACAGAATGTCAGAACAAGCAGATTTTAAGTATTTATTTACTAGCACACAAATGGTGCTGCTGTTTTATGAATAACTCACTCACAGGTCTCACATTATATGTTTGTGGTGCTCAAGGGTAAAACCAAGAAAAGAAGACCGATCTGAAATGAGCTGTTTAAGGCAGAGAGGAATCTGAGCTCTGTCCTCCAAGGCCAAAGGAAGTGAAACTGCCATTCATACCTTTGATTTTTTTTTTTTTTTTTTGCTTGTGTCGTCTTGTTTGTTTGCATGTGTCTGTGAGATGAAGCGTATGAAGGAGAGAAGTAGGTAGGGAGTGTGAAAATCTCATTCTGTCGCTATATGTGCTGGTGCCTTAACATATGTCTTAACTGAAAGGTTCAGTGCAGGTGAAAAATCTAAATCTGCTGCTTTCACTTTCAGTATATTTTACTGAGATGTACAGTTTCATAGATACTTCAATAGATGACATTCTCTTGACAAGATGTCAAGGAGCATAATAATCGCTTGGCTGAAGTGCTGAGCTTACAAATCAAGCAATACACAGCTCTCCATTTGTGCTTTCAGTTTGCATTCTGATATTTACAGTTTTAATTCAGTATTAAGTAATGAAGGAAAAGATGAGATGAGAATTTCCCAAGTGTGCGCTCATTTATTACGGATTCTGCTCACTTTTTGTTCTCCAACCTGATGGTTTGATATCGTGTTGATTCAGCATTGAATGGTCACCACGTTTTAATGTGGGATGTGTTAACGCTTATCAGAGGATTAATCACATTAATTGTACATTTATTTTTATTTGGATTATTTTAATTTCCTTCCATCATATTTTATGTTCCGTTTTAGTGTTATATACTGTAATAAGTTTGGAAATCATTGTCAAAAAATTATTCAAGTTCTGGGAAAAAAAATCTCATGTATTTATTTTGTACTCATACTAATGTGTTATTGAGTAATTAATGAGTGTCCTCTCAAAGTACATGTACTTGTATTTGGAAATTCAGAAGAAGCATTAAACATACTATACACACATTACCAGTAATAATGTGAATAATGGAAGCTGTTTTTTCCTCAGTTATTCATGTCTGGTCTATAATAAAATACTATGGACATTGTTCAAAGATAAAGGTTCATACAGAAAAATTTATGATAAGATTATTCTCATAAATATAACTTAGAGGCTTCACTGAGATGCTGGGACATAATTTACTTAATTTACTTTAACATAATTTACTTTTGACATTATTATTTTATTGCAATTTCATTGCATTTTATATTTTCCATTGATATATTCAAAGTTGGATGCATCACTGTGGTGTTTTTAGTCCAGTCATTAAAGCCATGAGCTGCATAAATTGAACTGTGTTCCTGTGTAAACAGTCTGACGTCATCCTAAAACTGAGAGACATGTGGTTAAGCCTTTACCTTTCCTCTAAAAATGTTTCCTCTTAAAAAAAATTCAGCTGAACTTTGGAACAGTGTCTCTATAACGAATGCGGTGTATTAAAACTACTCATTTAATTGTTTGTTCCCACTTTATATTAGGTGCCTTTTTAACTACAACCTACAAAATTAATAAGTACAATGTACTTGATGTGTTTATGCTTTTGCTGCTATTGAGATGTAATACGGGTGAGGTTAAGGACAGGTTTGGGTAGATTTAAGGGGTAGGGTCAACAGTGTAATTATAGATGTACTGTAATTACAGAAATTACAGATGTATGTACATGCAGTATTTCTTAAATGTAAGTACAATTAAAACTTGTATATACAAGAAGTAGATTGTATCAAATGACAAATTTAAATGTTAGTACATAGTAGTTAAAGACATCATATAAAGTGGGGCCAAGTACTCAATTTTAAAAGTGCAAAAAACAGCATAGCTTTACAGTATTTTACAGTACAAAACTGTACTTGTAAAATTGCACCAATCATCTCTATGACATCAAGAATGCATTCTGTTAAAAAAAGGTTATTTTTCAAATACTTCACTGTAACCTTCTACTCCAATTTCTGTGATTTGCTTTGAGCACTTGAATATATGTCAATTTCAATCTAAATCTTAGTCCACATGAAAGGTTTAGTATGCATATCTTCACATGCACCAGCATTTATCTGGGCCTGTGTTGCATTTTAATGTCATTGTTCTCAGTAATAAGAGGAATGCTTGGATAGTGTTTCAGATATTTTTCTTAACTCCAAAGCAGCAGTTGATAATTATGTTCTTATTTTTGCTTTCTTTCAAGAGAAAAAGCAGAAAGATCTGCACTCCTTTTTATTTTTTACATTTTTCATTATGCAACATGGCACATGCAAAGCAGACGTTTCGGCTAAATAGCTGAAATGTCTCTTTACAGGTGTTGTGTTGCATAATGAAAAGTTTAAAAATGAGAAAAAGAATTCTGATCTTTCAGCTTTTCCTTAAAAAAAATACGTTTTTATGGATCTACACACCCTGAGCCACTAGAGCGCAGTGATTTCGTCATTTTTATTGATTTCTTTTTAATCAAAATCTTTTATCTGAGAACCTTGAAGACTATCAGACTTCCACTTTTCACACGGATGCTTCATTATTTTCATGTATACCAAAAATACTTTTAACAAAGCAAAGTCACTGCAATTTCAGTTTGTTTTAAGATGCCTTACTTCAAAAGAAGAGGGATGTAAGATATTGTGATGCTAAACAAAAGATGAAGCAAGGTTAGGACAATTAAAATTATAAATGGTGAAAGGTATCTTAATAATTCTATGAACAAAGGTAAGAACACACCCTCTTTATTGAACAGCCATGAAGGTGTGTACGAGTCGACTAGGAGAAATTTAACTACTTGAAGTCAACAGACAACTCCTCGTCAATGATGGCTCTTCTATTAGTGAGCCTCCTAATGCCAAGTTGATTTATTTGAACTGATTTGGGTTTGGCTGTGTTCCTTTTATCATTTAAGTCGACTCTTAATTGTCAAAGTAAACAACTTGAAAATGTGGATTGTTCAACTAAAATTAGTTACATGCTTATTCATCTATTTGTCTAAAAGTAAGTTTTTCAAAATATTGTATTTTTCTTCAGATTTATGTTACTCTGCCATGGTGTGAATTGTGGTTTTAAGTGCTTTAGTAAAGCGTAGTGCAAACGAGGGCCATGGCACAGATTCAGGTGATGGATTGGTGACTGACTCTAGATTGAATGGTTGGAAGTGGAGCTACAGAGACATTGGAGGACACATACTGTAGTATTTCTCGAGGCATCCACCCTTCTCATATGATGTTATTGCAGACATAAAAGCTGTTTATACTATTATGAGGGTTGTTGCTAGGTTAGGGTACCCGGGGCCCAGTGCAGTTTGTTGCTGTGATATCATGAAATTGCATTCTCGGGGTGAACATAGACTTTTACAGTTCCATTCAGCTGAATGGAGAACGTCCTCACATCTTTGTCCAGCATTACCCTTGACTCTGGTTTTTACCAATATTTTCAGGAAAGGACAGCTGTATGATAGACAGAAAATACTGGAGGACCTTCACAACTTTCGTCTGCTCACGTAGGTTATCAGTCTTCTTATTTTGATTAAGCTGCTTTCTCCCCATCACCATGTAGTTGTGTAATTTAATGTTGCTTTACTTCTGGCTTGTACAGTGTATGAGACAGATAATTATTAGGTAAAGATCAGAATGTGTAAGAGAATGGCATGAATTTTATAATATGTAATCCTAAATGTATATGCAATATGGTGCCATGTACAGTGGTGTGTGGTGTTGGCCCCCTTCCTGATTTCTTTTTTTTTTTTTGCATGTTTGTCACACTTTAATGTTTCAGATCATCAAACAAATTTAAATATTAGTAAAAGATAACACAAGTGAACACAACATGCAGTTTTTTCACAATAAGAGCTAATACAGTACATCATAAGATCATGGGAAATGTGCTTACAAAATGAGATTATGCACTCATTATCATGGCTGTAATGTACATTTTATGTTTAGTTTTTTGTAAAAAAAAAAAAAAAAAAGGAATTGCTAAGAAAACTTAAAAATAAAATGCAGCCTGCTGCATTAAAATGTGTAGGTCGTCTCAACTATTGTATTAAAAATAGTCTGAAATTACACCGCTTTGTTCTGTCAATTTTAATTTTGTTTTAAATTCATTGACTAAATGCAAAATGCCTGACTCATAATAGATTTATTTGAGCACACATTTTGCAGAAAAACAGATTCTTATGAACTAGCCATTGCAACTGTGGTCTGCTCTAGTACTTTTCAGGCATTTCAGATCATTATATCAGACAAAACGATACGAGTTATCACTATAAATTTAAATATCATTAAAAAGAATAAATAATATCACATCATATGATGCTTTATAGGTGACCAGGGACTGCCAAATACTTGAAGTGAATTTGCCTGCTTCAAAGAATTACCCCTTGCAGAAGAAGAGGTCTCATATGCAAAAACACATAAAAACCAAGGCACTGGCACTATATATTACTATTTATTTTTTTAAGAACAATCACCAGGGCCGTAACTGAGGTATGCATGCAGGGCCCCAGTGCAAATTATAATACAAATTAAACAATGCTTTTCACAACAATTTTTCAGGTTTGTCTGTGTTCTGGTACATAAATTGAATAATTAAATATAAATAACATTGCATAGTATTCACTGTATAAATTAAATATAGAATAATAACTGCTAAAGCTACAAAAGTTATTCAGTCAAGAGCAGTGAGTGATTTTCTCTTTTTTTCTTGGA